GTGCAACCCCGTGTTTTTTTTCCCCGGGGCAAACAGCCCTGCCCCCCCCCCCCCCCGCATTTTCTGGCCCGTATGACCAGGGCCCTAGAATCATAGAATGTTAGAGTTGGAAGGGACCTTTCAGGTCATCTAGTCCAACCCCCTGCACTCTGCAGGAGCATAGCCGGCTTTCTGGGGGGATCCCACTATTTCTTTTTTCCCTTCTCTGAAAGCCCCCATAACCTCTTGCTTTTCCCTGCCCCCTTCTCTCCTTTGCAGTTCCCTGCTTAACCTCCTGTCTTCAGTCTCCCCCTGCAAGCCTTTTCATGGGGCAACTTTGGCCAAGTTGTGTAGTGTGGGTCACCAGGCACAGTTGTGTGGTGGAGAGCCCACAGGGACTTGGGAGGGGGCACCTTGGTTTCCCGAGTATGTATCCCTGGCCCTGCTTCCTGCCTTCTGGCAGCCCCCATGTCCTCTGCTTCCCACTCACCAAACATACCTTTTTATTTGCTCTCCCAGTTTTCAGCTATGTTCAATACTTTTTAACTATGTGTATAACCCACCTTTCTCAACAATGTGGACTCCAAGCAGGTTACATCATTCTCTTCCATTTTATTTTCTCAACAACCCTGTGAGGTAAATTAGGTTGAATGGGTGTGACTGGTCCAAGGTCACCCTGTGAGCCTCCATGGCAGACTGGGGATTCAAGATCTGGGTCTCCCAGATTCTAATCTGAAACTCTAGCCATTACATCACATTGGTATTTGTGGGGCATCTGCTGTTGAACATAAGCGAGCACCCTGGTATGAGTGAGTCATGCAGGTCACAAGGTATCAAGTCACCCACTGGTTGTTGCTGACCTGGCCCAGATGAGTCCTCCCGCAAAGGCCAATACAGCCCTGGAACAGGCCCTGCTCCATCCCCCTTTTACTGACAGAAACCAAGGCTTCAACTGGCAATAGTGTTGTGGTTGTCTAGCAACAGCCACTGAGTACTTTAGTTTCTTAACACCACAGGTGCCGTTTCTATTTTGGGGGTGGATTAAACCTGCAGTTGTGTTCTTTCTTTTTAAAAAAATTTCACACTTTTCTGCAAACCTGTGGTGTTTTTCAGGCTTGTAGAAAGATCTTTCTTGTTTTTGCATGGCTTCAGTACCTGGTTTAAAGTATCCACAGATTTATTTAGCCATGTTGAGAGATCTATTGATGATTTCCTTCTGCTCAGGACTACTTTCTACAGAGGAAAACTTTCTGCATTTTACAAATGGTGATTGGAATCAAGAAACTTTCAGAAGACATATCTGAGGCTCAAATACTGTGCAGTGTTCTGTGGTAGGGGTATTTCCTGGTGAGCACAAGGGTGCATACTGCTGGAAAATAAGCACAGATTTGGGCTGGACGGGGAATTAAACGGAAGAGCAGCTATTCTATGCACTGGAGCTGTTGGGGGTGGGTGGGTGAGAGTCTAGTTTAAAAAGTCAAAGGTGTCGTGCCCTCTTCCTCCCCTAGCTCTTCTCCTTTACTTATATATTAGTAAGGTAAAGGTTTCCCTTGCTCGAAAGCCAGTCGAATCCAACTCTAGGGGTGCTGTGTTCAGCTCCGTTTCCAAGCTGAAGAGCCAGTGCTGTCCGAAGATATTTCCGTGGTCATGTGGCTGGCATGACTATACACCGAGGTGCACGGAATGCTGTTACCTTCCCACTGAAGTGGTACCTATTTATCTCCTTGCAATTTCTTGCTTTTGACCTGCTAGGTTGGCAGGAGCTGGGGCCAGAGACAGGAGCTCACTCCGTCATGTGGCACTCAGGTCGCGAACTGCTGAACTACCAACCTTCCAGTCTGCAGTTCAGTGTCTTAACCACTTGAGCCACCGCAGCCCCCTACTTATATATTAATGCATTATAATTATTTACATCCTGCCTTTCCATGTGGCCCAGAGCAGCTACAAATCATTTCTCCCAGGTGGAGCGGGAATGCTGATGGGAAATCCACTCGGGTTATAGGGGCTACAGAGAAGCTACAGCAAGAGGAAGGTGCTAGTGTCTGTCTTGTTTTTGAGCACCTTTTCTGTGTCACAGATTCATGGAGAATTGCTCCATCAATGGCTGTTAGTCATGAGGGCTAAATGGAACTATGTTTGAGGGCAGCATCTCTTTGAATATCAATTGCTGGGGGGGAGCAGCACTCGGGTAGAGGCTGTTGCCTCTGTGATGATGCTTGTGGACTTTCTGTGGCAACCGGATGCCATAAGGAGCAGGATGCTGGGCTAGGTGAACCACTGGTCTGGTCAAGCAGGGCTCTGCTTTTGTTCTTAAAAAAAAATTGTTTGGTGCAATACGGAAAAGCTGCAGGCTTTCAGTGTATACCAATTTAAAACAGAACACCGCAGATGTCAGCATAATAAGCATCGACTGCACTGGGTGCCAAAAAGCATTTCAAAACAGTGAATGCCATGGCCAAGCCTTGTAGACGAAGGGGCTGTGCTTGCTGGGGCCTTCACGCACACTTAACGCACTTTCAGTCCACTTTGCAACTGGATTTTACTGTGTGAAATGGCAGAATCCACTTGTAAACGGTTGCTGAAGTGGATTGAAATGGCATTATTTAGCATGTGTGAAAGTGAGGTAGAAGGAAAGATACTCTCCATCAGTGTTCCCTCTAAGCTGAGTTAGTGTGAGCTCACAGTTTTATAGCCTCTGGCTCACACATTTTTGCCTTTGCTCAGGAAGGATGGCTCCAGAGCAAACTCATTTATGCAGTTAGCCAAATTGCTTGCTCACTACTTTAATGCCATAGCTCACAAAGTAGAATTTTTGCTCACAAGACTCCACAGCTTAGAGGGAACATTGCTCTCCATGTGTGCTCAGAGGTATTAAGGCCTGACACTGACCACTGGCTTGGGGACTGATTTTGAAACTCTTTGATGAAGGAATGCATTTCTGGGGGAGAGCACAGGGAAGATGCCCAACATGTCAGCTCTTAAGGGAAGTGGAGGAAAAAATGGGCAGAAGAGGAAAAGAATGTCATTTTGATCATTCAACATTTTAGTCGTGCCATGTGCCAATGGTCCCAATGATGAAGAAACTGAGCAAACCCCCCCCCCTTTATTTTGGGTTGCAGCCCTGTACCTTAAAAGCAGATGTTCACATCCTCTGTGGCTTTTGACAGCCTTTCCATAGGATACAGATGAAGTGGAACTGCCCTTAATCATAATCATGAGAAAAACCTTCGCGGTTTTTCAGGACAGCTAAGAAAAAGACAGATTATATATCAGTTTTGCTACATAGGAAGTCACAAAGGGCAGTCACATTTCTGAAGTGAAATATATGATGTGCAAGGTACTTTCTTTTGACTAGGGCCCTGGTCACACGGGCAGGATAACGTGGGGGGCGTGGCTATTTGTGGCGGCGCATTTTAACGTGCCATAACGTGATCCCATGCGTTGGCGGCATGCCACAGTTCCTTCCCTCCGCGTCAACAAGGGGCCAGAGGGAAAAGCGGCGCGCTGGCGTGATCACAGTGAGGCATTCCGGAGGCAGCCCGTGGCAAACCGGTTGCTACTACCTTTGACCAGGTATTTTTTAACTCCGTATTTTCGGTGGTATGCCACAGGCTGTCCACGGGTGCGCTACACCTCCCAGATGTTCTGGTGTGATCTGCGGGGCAAATGCTCCGTGTGAACAGGGCCTATGTTGGGCTGAGGTGGAGGACAGAGAATATTTCCCCCAGGGTCCATGGTGGCTTTCTACTATTCTTTTTGGAGGCAGTCTGTTGGAGGCATACAGAAATAGGAAGTGCCCCTTTCTCAAACTGTGTTGCGGTTGGGTGCTGCCTTGGGGAAGTAGCTTTTCTAGAGAGGTGTGTCTTGGTTCTGTGATGTTCCACATCACGCCCTGCAGGGTCTCTACAAGGGATTGTATTGCTTTTATGAGTAGCAGTATCCAGCTGTGTGCACTCTAGCCTCCTAGTTATTTGTGGGATTCCACATAGTTTGAGACAATTGTGTCCATTGGTAATCTTACTGAAAATGCCATTTTGGCCACCATGGATATGGAATCTCTGTAGCCACACAAAGATGGACTACACGCACTGAGGAATGACATTCCTGATCGTGATACAGAATAGCCGTCTGTTAAGCTTAATCTTCACCCATAACTACATCAGGTAAGAGAACACCCTGGTTCTTAAAGTCGTGGGCACTGCCATGGGGTCCCCCTTTGCCTGTGCACTATGCCATATCTGTGGCAGAGCACCTGTTTCTGAGTGCCTTACGTTTACTTGAGATTCACTGATGACATTTTTACCATCTGGACTCATGGGAAGGAGACTTTAACAAGTTCCATCAGTCTGAGTAAAGTGTTGACTTTATTACTGGATCTTGTTTTTATCTCTGCAGTATTATTCAACACACATGTCATGAGAAACTAGAACTTCAGACTTCTCTTTGTAATAACTCTGCCTCCTTCACCCTACTGCTGTTCGTAGTTTTATTTGTATCAGCTGAATGTTGTATTTCATGCATCTGATGAAGTGGGCTCTGTTTGGTGTAGTGGTTAAGTGTGTGGACTCTAATCTGGGAGAACCGGGTTTGATTCCCCACTCCTCCACTTGCACCTGCTGGATGACCTTGGGCAAGCCATAGTTCTGTCAGAGCTGTTCTTGAAAAAAGAGCAGTTTCTGTCAAGAGCTCTCTCAGCCCCACCTACCTCACAGGGTGTTTGTTGTGGGGAGGGGAAGGGAGAGGAGTTGGTAAGCCGCTCTGAGACTCCCTTGGGTAGTGAAGGGCGGGGTATAAATCCAATCTCTTCTTCTCTCTTCGTTGTCTCATGAAATCTTGTGCCACAATAAACTGCTTTACCTTTAAGGTGGAGCAAGACTGTTGGTTTGGCTGCAGCAGTCTAACATTGACTCTCCTACTGAAGTTTGCTAGTAAGAAAGTTGCCACTCCCTTCAAAGTCAGGGGGAAAAAATCCACTCTTTGGTAGCCAGAGATACTTCTGTCCTTTATATACACATGCAATTTTTTTCTCTCTGAGAACATTTGGCAAGACAAATGAAACATTTCAAATGGGAAAAGCCCTTCTCCATGATAATATCCAGAAAAAAATATTTTTCTGCATTTCTGTAGTGCCTTCTCCCCCCAGGAATTCAAAGCATTTGAAATACTAATATTTTAGCCTCACTTTTTTGGTGAGGTAGGTTAACCCCTCCCCCATAAACATTTTGCAAAGCAAGAAGATGCAGCAGAGTTTCCGGGTGAGGAGTTCATGCAGTCAAGAAGAGATTCCCAAAAAGTCCTTGACATCCACTTCTCAGGGCTCTCAGATTTCTTTCTTTTAAGCAAAAAAAAAAAGAAAGAAGGCAGCTTTTCCCTTGTCTGTTTCTGGTGATTCATGTGAAGAGAATCTGTCCGTGAGTCCTGCTTGCTTTGCGAAGTAAAATGTTTCCCGCACAGCCAGGAGGAACGTTCCCCTTTGCAGAGGGTTTGTTTTTCAATGCAGCCGTTTCTGCTTCGGCAGGGGTCTGTATCTTGTTCCGGGGAGAAGCGGTCCTATTTCCTGCGGAAGACCTGCTGCTTGGCGTTCTTGACACGCTGCTCTTCTTTCAAATTCATCTGGCGTGCCTGTTTGCTGGAGATGAACTCCACCTGTTCAGAAGGGAACCAGCCTCTCTCGCCATCTGAGAGCTTCACTCCTTCAATCCATCCTGCAGGAGGGAACAGACACAGCAAGTGAATACAGACAAACCAATGATTTCCAAGACGTACATGTAAGCCGTGTATCTGGGTGGAGACAGGTGACTGTTCTACCCCCCCCCCCATCTACACCTGTATGTGAGAAAATTCTCTCCTTACCGCTTGTTAAGATGACAGGAATCACTGTAGTCTTCGCCATCAGAATTTAAGTTATTTGGAGCTGGGCTGTACCTCTATTTTGCTGAAGAAACTCTCCACAATTGTGAAGCTGTTCAGTGATAAATGCTTTGACTTGGATCTGGCCAGTATCGACACGCTCCCCAGAGGTGATGTGTGCCTTGCTTGGGGCAATAAAATAGCCTGAATCAGCACTACGGAGACAGTCTACTCTGGGGCTCCCCAGTGTGGTGCTTGTGGGTGTTGTGGGTGGTGCCCGCTGACCCCTTCCCTGGCACCCAAGTGCTTTTAGAAAGTGGATGGGGTTAGCTGGGGCCTTTTCCTAGCAGGGCTTCTGATTGCCTGTGCAGGTAAAAGGCATCCTGTTAAACAGCCTCTGCCTGAAATGAGGAGGACTTCTACCCCTCCCTTCACTTGGAGTCTCAGAGTGGCTTACAATCCCCTACCTCTCTCCACCTGTGAGGTAGGTGGGGCTGAGAGAGCTCTTTGGAGAACTGCTTATGAGAGAACAGCTGTAAGAGAACTGTGGCTTGCCCAAGGTCACCCAGCAGCTGCATGTGGAGGAGTGGGTAATCAAACCCAGTTCTCCCAGATTAGAGTCCGCGCTCCTAACCACTACACCAAACTGGCATAACCTTGCTCCCTGATGTTGTGTGATTGGCTCCACCTTGTGTGGCAACCATTTTGTGATTGTGCCTTCTCCACTTTGTCAGAATCCCAAAAGTTCCCATAGGCATAAAGAGTTTGAGGACCCCGATCTACTCCATCCCTACTTTGGCCCCAAGTAAGGCAAGGTGTTCCATTATGTGTTTTTCTTTTTAAAAGAATTCGATTGAAATCTAACAATACACAATCGGAACCAGTATACAGGGCAAAAAAATAAATACATCACATTCTGTGTTTTCAGTTCCTTCACACAACTGAGAAGAGCCAATTAATCAGCTATCAGGCTGTCATCTTCTCCTAAAATTTTGTCCCTTGCCCCCTCCATAGCAGACCCACTCACCATCAGTACTTTGCCGCATGACCATCACAATATCTGCCTTCTCCAGAGCCAACTCATCGTTCTCACGGGCTTTGTATGACTTCACACACTGAACCTGAGGTGCGTCTGAAAAAGTAGGGTAGGAACACAAGGATAGCGTCAGAAGCCTCATTGCTAAAATCAGGAAAATATGTATATTCTCTTAAAACAACTTGTGAATATGTGATCTTTGCACTTAAAAACAGGATCTTGCTGACAGTCATACCTATATCAAATAAGAAAAGTTGCGTTATCTAATTATTTTGCGTAATTCTGTTCCATGTTCTGGATATTTTCAGGCAGCGTCCACATACTTTCACACCTACTTTCGCAGTCTTAAGGACTGGAAACGTGCGTCTGTGCTTTTTTAACAATAAAAGCGGCTTCTTGGGATGAAGGATTATAAGCACAGTGTCAGTTCTGATCTCGGAGCTGTGGAATATGCCCAGTCCTATTTTCAGGTCTCGAAAGAGTAGTAATTTGAATCCACCATGCAAGTGCTGATAGTTGGGAAAACTGCCCTGTTGATATTTAGTATAGCTCAGTTGCCTCTCCTTGGAGAATGTGAAAATCCAAGAAAAGGAAGGATTCTGCAACTGACCTGGCCAGGAATACTTTCCCCCAGCAGAAGTAGTAGTGTCCTATTTTAGCCACCAACAGTTTCTGGTGCTGCAACAGCTCTCTCGAGCAGGTCCATAAATACTTTCTAGATAAATAAAATGGATTGATACAACTTTGCTAACTGTAGAAGCTGCAAGCAGGTGTGGAACACCTGGGAGCTTTAGGCATTGAGAGGTCCTCATTTCTGTCTGGTTTTAAGAAGGTGGTTAAAGGTGGCCTAAAACTATGTCTCATCTTGTATCCTGACAATCAACCATGAACTGCAGGTTCTGTAGATGAAACTCAGTGTTGGCCAGATTCAGATCAGGACCATGGCACATATAGATGAGATCTTAATTTGACTCCCACCCAATGGTGTTTTCCCAATCTGAAATGTCCTCTGGGGTTGCTGTTTTCCCCACTGGGGAAACCTACATGTAGCTTTCATTACGTGTAAGTGTCCCCATTGGAGTAGGAGAATCAGTGGGAAACAACGCATCGTGGTCCTGCTTGAAACTGGCCCTGTGTACCTGGGAACTGAGTGCCCGAGTACAGAACTCAAATCACGTACCTGAGTTCAGGGCAGACCCAGGGAGGATGCGAGGGAAACTCAATGTATAATTTGGCCCTCAAATAGCCTTGTTAATACCACTGTTCCACCACATGAGGGGGTTTAATAAGCAGCCGTGTGAGAGGGTTTTCCTCATTTGCCTGCCAAAGAGATGGCAGTAGAATTCAGAAGGGGTTCCAAGTCCAGAAATTTTGAGGAGACCTGCAGCCTCCACTGTCCTGAATTTGGGTACAGTTCCAAGGTAAAAGGTAGGGAAAGTGCCATCGGATTTACGAGCCAGCAGTGGAACAGTATTGGTTGAAGGGAGGTTGGGGATAATAATGATTGCATAATAGGTAGCCCCTGGTCTGGGACAGAAGGTTGTAAATGGTATGCAGGCAAGAAAAATGGGAATCAGCACTTGTGAGACAGAGAAGGGAAATTCCCAGGGATCCTGGGGTTCAGGACACTGTGCCTGCTGTGCTCTAGGAACTAAGGAAAATCACAGCACAGTGTGCCCTTTCCACAGTGTGGGGTTGTCAGCTCCAGGTTGGGAAATATCTGACATTTGCAGGGTGGAACCTGAGGAGGGTGGGGTTTGGGGAGGGGAGGGACTTCAGTACTGTAGAATCCACCTTCCATAGCAGCTCTATTCTCCAGGTGAAGTTATCTGTGTCTCCTGGAGATTAGTAGTAATCCCAGGAGATCTTCAGCCACCACCTGGAGGCTGGCAACCCTATCACAGTGCCCTTTTTGGTGTCTTCTTCCTGAGCATTTCAAGGAAGGGGAAGGGAAAGACAGGAGGGCTTGGATGGGTTTGGGCAGAGGTCATTTCGGGGGGGGAACTGCGTTCCCCCGCGTGAGGTGCAGGGGGCGGGGCACATGACGAAGCCCCACCCCCTGCTTCCGGCCGCCCTGCTTCCAGCCCTCATTCAGCCAGGAGGAGGCAGGAGAAGAGGGAGGGTAAGTTGCTTCCTCCCTGCCTCTCCCCACCCCTGCCTGCCTGGGGCCAGGGAGGGCCTTGGCGGGGCTTCCTTGCACTCCCACTGGCCTTGCAGGTTCACCGCCGGGCCCCTGATGTCAGGGGGTGTGGCATATGCTAATGAGTTCCCCTAGCTCTTTTTCTACGAAATGACGCCTGGGTTTGGGGAGGGGCCTTCCCCTTTCCCCCCAAGACTACCACAGGGAGCCCACTGAGAACTGAAACTCCTCAGAAAGAGGCTGGACTTTAAACAAGTCATTTTGGGGCTGATCTGGATCGATACCAAATGGAAATTGTTTTAGCTGAGCACATTCTGATTACGAGCGCAAGAAGTTATTTTTTGTAGCTTCTGCAAAATATGACTTTGTTATGAACAACAGTGCAGCATCAGTTTCTGCATTTAAGAACCACATGTTTAAGGACAGAAAACAGCATTTTGATTGTGTTTCTTTTACATTTTATTCATTACAAAAATATCTGGAATCTGGATTCACATTTTAAAATTGTCACTTGTTCTTGTTGAATACTTTAAAAAATAGAGATGGGGTTTCACTGTTGAGAAGTGAACTTTCCTTTGGAAAATTGGGAGCTGAGGAGAGAATGTCCTGAGCAGCTGTATATAGGAGGGAAATGTGTATTGAATATTCATTATGAGTTATATCCTGTTCTATTTTTCAATTGTATTTCCTAAGAAGTTTTACCAGGGTCATCTAGAAGATCAAGCTCTGCTTGCTGCGGTGAAAGAGCAGAAATCCATCGGAGTTTTTCACTCCTAGAAAATAGGGAAAAAAACAAGTAGTAGTAAGGATAGGAATACTCAAAATGTGTGTACTGGTTGTTGATTATTCTATCCTTCCTCCAAGCAGCTCAGAGCAACATACATATTCTTCTCCTCCATTTTATCCGCACAACAACCCTGTGAGGTAGGTTAGGCTAAGTGTGACTGGACCAGGATCACCCAGTGAACTCAATAGCCATGTGGGGATTTGAACATGGGTCTTCTAGATCCCCACTTGACACTCTTAACCACTACACCAAGCTGGTTCTCGGTTCCAAGACGGCAGTGGTATGCTTTATCCTGTCCGTCTAGTTGTGGTATACTGCGAGTTTTGTCTCAGCCACAAATTGGCAGACGGAAGCAAATTATTATCCTCTTGACTGCCTCTCCCCTGCACACAATCAACCAATACGGGGGTGAAACTACGAGGCTATTACTCAGGATTACTAAAACAAAGTATGTGAAGTGCCCTGAACACTCAGAAGGCACTACATAGAAGTGGGATAGGGACATGGTGATCTATGTTCTGATCACATGCAGGTTAGATTACCGTGAGGTATATGTGGTGGAGCTGCCTTTGAATACTGTTTGGAAACATCAGGCAGTCCAAAATGCATCAGCAGCGCTGGCTGCTCATGTGTTTCTGGGCACAATTCAGGATGCTGGTTCTTGCCTTTGCAGCTGGCTTAGGGCCAGGGTACTTGAAGGACTGCCTCCTCCCATACTGTCTGCCAATTAAGGTCCTCATCCTAAACTCTGCACTGGTGGCCCCTCACCTTCAGAATGCTCCTCCCCCCCTTTGAGGCTCACCTGCTGTCTACTGTCATTTAGCTGCCCGGCCAAAACATTTCTTTTTACCCAGAGTTTTAACCAAGGGATTCTGTGTCTTTAGCCTGAGGACTATTTTATGCGTATCATTTTAGGCTGATTGTTGTTTTATACCCCCTAGCTTGTTTTTAATGCCTTATTTTTTAAAAATGTTGCTTTTATGAGTTCTATTGTATTGGTTTTACTTGTGAGTTGCATCTCTGGAGAGGTAGCATATTCATGTTTCTAAAGAAATAAATAATAATATAGGTTGATTGTGGGGAAGAATATCTTATATCTGTGATTTTACCATGGAGAGAATGATTTCATCATTTGTTGTTTCCCTATATTAATTAATTATCATGTGGTGGGTGTAGTATAGCCAGGAGATCCTAAGATTGTCTGGCAGCCAGAAGTTCAAGCTCTTTTTGCATGATGCACCACTAGGTAGTGAGCTAGACTTGTTTTGGGGCTGAGAGAGTTCTGAGAGAACTGTGACTGGCCCAAGGTCACCCAGCTGGCTTCATGTGGAGGAGGGGGAAATCGGACCCGGTTCTCCAGATTAGAGTCCACTGCTCTTAACCACTGCACTAAACTGCTGTTCCCCTGTTGACCTGGCATGGAGGGAGGGAGTCTAGAAACAGAAGAAATTCCAGCTGCTGGCCAGTGACTGCTTTCTCTGATGATCCCCCCCCCATGAGCTTTGACAAAACTCTGCCTTCCTTTATCTAGGCAGGAATATGACTGGAAGGTAGTGAATGGTTCCTCCTCCCAAGCAGGCTCATTTGACTTGCTTGCCAGGCACAGGAAATGGGACCTAACCCTCTGTAGAATACCACCCCCTAGCCATCGCGGGGGGAGGGGGGGATACAGTTGCTTAAAACATGTTCCTGCCTTTGTAGAGTTCCTTTTGCCCTCTGGTTTAATGTGTGTTAGTCGAACACCTAAACCTTGAGCCAGGGTGGGACTAGGCTTTGTGTTGGGTGCTGCCAAAAAACCCATGCATTCTTTAGACATAGCTATCTGTGTTGTGATACCATTACATTCTGTTTCCTTGCCCACCACTTCGCATTCTTGGTTGCAGCTGATGGGAAAGAACATGTTATACCCTCCTGGCTTCAGTGGTCTTAGAAGAGTGGAATTCTGTTTAGAATGGCTTGAATGCAACTTGCATGCCCTGAAAACACACTTATGTTTTAATGCCCTTGTTAACCTGCGTTATATCCAAGCTAAACCTCTGTTTTAATTCCCTTGTTAACCTGCGTTATATCCAAGCTAAACCTCTGTTTTAATGTCCTTGTTAACCTGTGTTATATCTAGGCTAAACCTCTGTTTAGCCTGGAAATAACACAGGTTAACACCCTGAAGTGAACTTTTGGAGGAAAATTCTGTATGTTTTCAGTATGCTGGGGAAAACCCAATGGTGGTGGGTGGAAGCAAGTGTGGCTAGCAGCTGTGATATCAGCCGCAAACCTCCCTTGCCTTCAGCTTTTTTTTTTTTTAAAGATTTTTATTGAAGAATTGTCTCAACAAAGCACAGATTATGTACATTAATGCCAAAAATTTTAAGGAAAAAAAGACTGGCTTGATAGTAACAATTTTTTTTTTAAAACACTAAAATAATTTTCGCATAAATCCATCTTCTTGCAACATCCAGCATGTTGCTATCTAATTTAAATATATAACAAACTTCCTGAATTAGGTTCTAAATCAATATGATAACTTTACAATTGGATTGTTACTAATGGAAAGTTGAAGGATGTGTGTATAAACACACATACATTCATTATGGTTCTAAATTAATAGTTATTCTAAATAAAAAATAAACATTAATTTGTGGTTATCATAAACCAGATTCTTTAGGACACTGTGTGTAACACCCCTTCCTGAGAGCTATTTAGCTGTTCTTACTGTGTTTCTGTACGGAAGAGGAACTCCACTTTTTTCCCCTGATTGTTCTGCAGCAGGAAGAGACGGAAAACGTTTTTATTTGCTCCATGCAGTTTCATTTCACACTTTTCTCCACGTACTTCTGAGGAGGCGGCATAATCAAATACGATGAAGTGCCCATTCCTGTGGTAAATAGGAAGAGGAACAAGCAATAGTTAAAACATTCTCTGTAGTGCAGGTAGTTATGAAATCCAGTGTGGTGTTGTGGTTAAGAGTGGCAGACTCTAAGCTGGAGGACCACGTTTGATTCCTCACTCATCCACCTGAAGCCTGCTGGGTGACCTTGGGCCAGTCACGGTTCTCTCAGAACTCTTTCAGCCCCACCTTCCTCACTCACAAAGTGCCTGTTGTGCGGAGAGGACTCCTTAAGTTAGAGAAAAGCAGACTATAAAAACCTCTTAAAAGTCTGCCATGATCATGTCCCAGCCCAGTGTGCAGAGATGTCCCAGAAGGAAGAGTACATGAGTTGTGATGAGCTGTAATATTCCCACCCCACCCCCCGCTGCCGCTGGTTTTCAACCATGGCTTTTTGATGGCTCCACTGGATATACGTCTGCAAGAAGGGAGCAGGGGAATCCCATAGATCTGGATGTGTTAAAAACTGTATTCGAATCTGTTTCAAGTTCTTGAAAGGGGCTGGATCTTTGAGGGACTCTGTGGCTACCACTGATACTGTTCATTTGCGTTTTTAAGGTTGGCCAAAGCACGGGGTCTGCTGCGTAGTGCATTGCGCCAAAGTCTATCCAGGAGACTGTTCCGGGGGGAGGAATGGATTTTTTTTCTTAATTCATTTATACTCTGTGTTTCTCCCCGGGGGGACCCAGAGCAGCTTGCATTGTTTCCCCTTCCTCCATTTTACCTTCACGTTCCCCTTCCTCCGTTTTACCTTTAAAAATGATGTTCCGTCGTCTTATTCATAATGTTCATATAGCACCTTAAAATTGTTTTTAGGATTTTAATTTGTTTTAAATCATTTTAACGTAAGCTGCCCTGAGCCTGCCTTGGCGGGGAGGGCATACATTCACAACAATCTGTAAGGTCAGTTAGGCTGAGATTGGCCCTGGGTCACCCAGTAAGATTCCACGGCAGAGTGGGGAACTGGAAAGTGGTCCTCTCAGCTCTTCATCCAGTATTCTAATCCCTCCAGCCACACTGCCTTTGTCCCTTGGCTTTTGATAGAAGTAAGCTCTCTAACAAGTTAGCTGGACCATAATGAGCAAGGTTTGTGCATTGTGACAGAAATTTATAAGCTGCTCTGCTTTGTATTTTAGTGTGACAACGTTTCTGTTGTTAATAAGGGGAGAGATGCTAAGAGCCGGATGAGATGATAGATTTTTTGCCTACAACAGCTCTGCTACTTTCTGCACCTATGTGTAGGGGGAAAGTTTAGATGTTCAAACCTTCTCTGGGCTGTCACAGACGAAACAGCAGCAGGACTTTGAAGAGAAGAGCTTATAGTAGAGTATGTAGTTCAGCCTTTGATGAAAAGACAGAGAATGCAGAACAAAGTCTGGAGTCCAGTGGCATCTTTGAGACCAAAAACGTTTTATTCAAAGTGTAAGCTTTTGTGTACAAAACACACTTCTTCAGTCAGTTTTGTCTGAAGAAGCATGGTTTGCACATGAAAGCTTACACTTTGAATAAAACTTTGTTGGTCTCAAAGGTGCCACTGGACTCTGTTCTGCTGCTTCTGACCAACACGGCTCTCTACCTGAATCTGTCGACAGAGAATGTAGATTGACATCTTAGTTCTGCGAGCTTTTGGAAAATCTGAGGGAAGGTGCCTGTTGGCCACCCTTTCTGATATCACCAACACACCCTACTCCACTGCTAAGTACAGGAGAATTTTTGCAACCTTTAAAAAAACTGGCTTGTATTCTACCATTTCACTTTGCTAAGTCTGGCAGAACCTACAATGACTACCATCAACATCATAAATCTTTCTTTTTCTCTTAATGAAATTGTGAAGAGGTACTAATTCTCCCCCAATACTTACTCCCTGGGTCGAGAGAGGAGCAGAAAATCATTGAAGAGGTGCAGGTAGATAGGGCGGGTGGTGAGTTTCCACTTCAAGCTCAGGTTGTACTCCAGTGCTGTCAGCTCACCACGCTTCACCAGCCGCCGGGACTGAGAAATAAGTGGGAAAATCTGGAAGGAAAATAAACATAACTCTTGTAAGTGAAGCCCATTTCTCCTCTTCACTCCAGGGCCTTTAAGGCACAATGTTGAAGGCTGCTTTCCTCTCCCAAAGAGTAGGTGGACATGCCTCATCTTGTCTCTGGTATTAGAAAGATAATTGTTACAGAAAAGGGAAGGAGATGGGGGGAGCGTAATGTTCTGTATTTCCTGATTAGTCTGCTAATCTGTTACAAATATACTGGGTATAAAAGGTATGTAAAAATATAGCAATTGACTGGCTTTTTTCATGTGGGTTTTACCAACAGGTCATACAGTGCCCCCTGGGGCCATTTCAGGTCAAGAAAACTGCACAGGGAGAGGCTGAAGCCTCTCCTCCAAGTGTGCCATGGTCCTTGTTATTTATTGGGACTGAAACATCCCAGGACTGTTCTACCAGAGATTGGCTGAGCTTGGAGCCCAAGAACAATAGCCTACCAGGATTCTGGAAGTAACCAATCAAGTAGTAACTTTAAAGCCCTATATGGCCACGGTCCGACGTACCTGAGGGACCGTCTTTCCCCATACATACCCCAGAGAGCACTCCGGTTGAGGGCCCAACATCGCCTTGTGATCCCAGCCCCCTGAGAGGCCAGGCTTGTGGCAGCCAGGGCCTTTTTGGTGGCGGCTCCTACCTGGTGGAATGAGCTCCCGGAGGAGATCAGGGCCCTGTGGGACCTTTCACAGTTCCGCAGGGCCTGCAAGACGGAGCTCTTTCGCCAGGCTTTTAATTAGGAGCCGCCACTACCACCTCCACCAACTACGGTGAGGGACGGCCCAATATAAAACTTTTACAGTACCGCAATGGATCGGTGCCGCCAAAATGGGCTCTGGGTTAATATCCCCTGGGTTAATATTCTCAAGCCTCCATCTTGATTTGACTAAAGCAATAATATCACTGAGCACTTTATTAATGTTAATCTGATTGTTTTATTTTGATTTTAATGTTTTATACTGGCACTTGGCGCCCTTGTTGTGAGCCGCCCTGAGCCTGCTTGTGAGGAGGGTGGGATAAAAATGTGAGAAATAAATAAATAAAATTTTAAAATGTAAATAGCCAATCATTGGGAGTGGGGTGTGTTTGGATGTGGCAAGTGCATGCTATTTAACAGAGCTGCAGCTTTGGGGTCTTGTCTTGCTCTTGCTGAAATCACAAATAAAGTTGAGCTGATCACTGGACTTGAGCCTGCTCATGATGGAACCCACTATTTAAGAGTCCCACTCCTAATCGAGCACTGAGCACACTGGAGTTGAGGAGAACTTTGCAGCACCGTGTCTGAAAGGGTGGGGACTCCAGACCCAGCTTGTGTCCTTTGTAATGTGTGAAATATGCTAATGGCAGTCTTGATCTGGCTGAGCTTCCAGTAAAAGACATTGTTCCTTTGTTGTATCATATTGTGTTGTCTTTCACATTGATTGGGGGTTGTTAAAGATAAGAGTGGTAATGATAGTCTTCCCTGAACGGCATCTGTTCCATTGTTCTTAGTAATTCCTCAGCTTTTCAGTTGCAGGGTAGTTTGGGATACATACACTCTCAATCCAAAGGGAGAAATTGTGTCATCCAAGAGGTCTGTTCAGCATTCTGCATTAATATGCACTGTGAAAATATCCTAGAATCCTGTACAACAGAGAGGGGTTCTGCTAATGATGTGCAGGGTTTCCTTGACAAAGTGATGATTTCTTGGAAGGTAAAAAGTTTGAAAACTGATACTTTAAGGGCACTGAGAGCTGATTGACTGTACGAAGTATGCATGTCCTGCATGTACGTGCTTTCAGCGTTTCATCTGGAAGTTTCTTGCTTGGAGCTTTTATTCCCAAGCATGTGGGGTCCAATGTGGACCAGGGAGGAGGGGCTTAAGCTTCCCCCATACCATTTCTGATCCTCAAACAGCATCTATGGAGCTGCTGTTTACCCTGCTAAGGAAATTTACCTGTACTGATGACTACACAAAGGTTTCCCCAGTGGGGTAAGTAGTGATTTCTTGGATCATTTCAAGTAATTAAAACAGGGTGAGCAGGAGGCTCAAGCTCCTTGCATCATGTGTCTGATCCAGATCAGGCCCCCCATCTGCCTAGGAATTAAGTTTATATTTATTTATTCATTTATAAATTAGATTTATGAATCTTTAAATCCCTGATTACTCAGGGCTCTAGGCGATGAACAACAAAACACTAAAACATCTCTCCTTATATATAACTAGAAATAATGCCCGTTGCGGAAATAAATACAACGGGATCTAGAAAGAGGCTCTGGGAGAGTGCTCTGGCTTTGGGCAAACAGTGTCAGTTTCCTGTGGCGACCTCAGCAGGATTTAATGACAGAGTCCACTGTTTTCTCCAGAGGGACTGATCTCTGCTACCTGAAGAGCATTTGTATGTTTGAGTTATCTGTAGCCCTCACCTGGAGAGTGGTAACCATTGTTACCCATTCTCCTCTCCCCTATGAGGTATGTTATGCAACTGAAAATTCCAACTGCCTTGCGGGGAGGGGGGGGGAGTTTGAGGTGTGGAATGGACTGAAGTCCAATCAGCTTCCATATGCAAAAGACCAGGTTGTCGCAGCAGTTGTGGTGTGGGCGGGACCCGGGCTTTGCCTTCTGATTGGTGGCGATATATGCTGAGGAGCAGTGCCATCAGCCATACACTAAGGGAGTGCATTTTAGAATTAGAACCTTGGCACCCACTATTCAATTATATATAAGGAGAGATTATATTAAGTCTCATGTATTACTAGTTTGACAATAGGGAATTATCCTTACTTTAAACCAGGGGTCTTTTCGTAGAAAAAGAGCTGCAGGAGCTTATTAGCATATAATATGCTAATGAGCTACTAGGCTATTAGCATAATAGCTCATTAGCATATGCAATACCCCCTGACATCACCGAAAGTGATGTCAGAAGGGGAAGCAAAAGGGGGGGGGAGGAATCTTCAAAAGCCTCCCCTTCCCGG